GTAATCAGTTCTAAATGTACAATAAGTGAAAACTTTGAGAGTTTCAATAAAATTTATTWTGTGGTTTTGAGAWATTTTGCTAACAGACAAACAGGATCTCTCCTATGAGTYAATGTCAAAGTGTTAATTAAGAATATGTACTGTTTGAAATGTGTGTTGGGGGTGACTTTCAGCTACACTCACAACAAATTCTAACAAAACTGAGTTACTCCTGTTTCTGTGTTTGTTAAGGTCGATTAGCWGCGGCGGCAGKTTTTAATTGAACTGACRCAAAAAGTAAATCAGTTGTGGGTGCACATCCKGTGATTACTTTCTGAGAATTTCATTAAAATCTGTCCAGTAGTTCATGAGATATTTTGYTAACAGACGAACAAAGAAAAAAAAAAAACATTGACCACCTTACGCCTTCCAGAGACGGACATTCAAAATGTCTAAACAGACATMATAAATAAAAGCCTAATGAGAATTTCCAGCACGAGCTCAGACTTTTAGAGACATATTAATTAAGCTGTGATTACTTCGTGATAGCTTAGAAAGAATTAAAAGATAAGTCAGTCAGGCAGGGTGGCTGTCGTTCACGTTGGAAGCGTTTACAAAAGACGGAGGGGGGAAAAATCCATTTGCATTAAATGAGGCAGATTCTCAGTCTTTGTTTGGGCTGTGATGCATCACTCGGCTGTGTGAGTCTGTCCTTGGTCACAGCCGCAGCTCGGCTTCTATAATCAGCACCGAGCTTCACAAACACGTGGCTTATTACCGCTGATGCCTGTGCAACTCCTCGTAATTGATTTGAGAAGCAGAGTGTCATAAAAATGACTGAGAGCGGTCGTCTAAAATAGCAATGCTTTTTTTTTTTTAAAAGGCCTCTAGTGTACAGGGAATGTATCTAAGCTTGGCTCATGCTATAATGCTTTACTTGAGGTGGCAGCTTATTCCACTTATTACTCCATTTTCTTCCCTTCTTTCTCCTCCTAAATGCAATTCAATGGCTCTTCAATGGAGCGTTAATTTCTCCTGCCAGCTCCCCTCAGAACGTCTTACTGTGTTTGTTAAAATGTGCCGCAGGACAAAGTGAGGCAGTACAAAAGGGACCACATAGGAAGCGTCGTTGCTGCTTCTCATTTTGAACGTGAACGCAGTCTCATTAGGGTTTTTTTTTTTTTTTGAGGGGGGGAGTAAACCGGCGGGCGTTTCGTTGCTCCAGAGAGCTTTCAGATGTTGCATCAGAGTGTTGTCAGTCACGGTGGATCATTGTCCTCTTCCATGTCCACCAGAAGAAACCCATCTAGGCTTAGATTAAACAAAAACCATTGTGGCACCAGCTGCATGAAACCCAGCTGCAAGGTGTCGTGTCTATAACGCACGTGTCAAACTGAAGGCCTGCGGGCCAAATCTGGCCCTCGCTTGCGTTTAAACCGGTCCCAGAGGTCCTACTTTAAATGTGAAATAAGGTTGATGGTTTCTCCTTTTGTCCCTGGATTTAGTGGAGACTTTTAACGACAGCTGAAAGCAGATTCGGTAGCTTTTCTGAAGTCAAACAAAAACATTGTGGCGTGTGGAATACCGTGCTTTCAAGCCAAGAAAATTAAGTTTGAATTTTTCAGCAGTCTTTGATTTTAGAGAGCAACAGAGAATCAACTTTAATTACATTTTTCTGTATTCTTTTCTTATTTTAAAGTCAAATAATAGGATTTTTAGCGACAGTTTTTTTAACGGATTTTATGGGTTGTGATGACATTTAAGAGAACAGAAAACATCTACAGCTGATTAACGTTTGGAGTCAACTCGGTTCACAATGCTTGCCACAGCTGTCCTTGGCAAACACAAAAAGTAACTATTCAATTATTTAGCTAAAGTTTGATGTATGTGAGAGTCATCCTCAGCACATACTCTGAGTTTAAACACAGCTCGCTAGATGTCACCTTGTTGTTTGAGACAGATGGAGCATGGAAAACTCCAGCATGAAAAGGTTGCAAACGATATAGTAAGTGCTTGTAATTTCAGTCACTCTGCTTTTTCACTCCTCTGGACACTTGTGAATTTCAGAGCCAAGTGGAACAATGAAACTGGTCATGAAACAGTTTTAATAGGGTTTATTCTTGTAATCTTTTAGAGGTCTTGATCAACAGTTCTTCATAGATTCTGAAAGTTTATTTTTGTTTATTTATTTATTTTTACTTTGGCCTTTTTTGCTTTTTCAGCCTTGACCACATTCAGGGAAATGTGCTACAGTTAATTAGGTCATCAGTCACGAAGACAAATACAGTAGTCAAATCAATGAACGACACTAAAGACTGGAGGACAGATAATACAGTATTTTTACACCAAAAGATTCCCGAACAGCTTTTAGCTAAAAGCTTGTTGATGATCCTGGTACTTTTTTTGCTAAAAGTTTTCCAACTGCTTTTTTATTTAAAGACATGAATTTCAGATTCTGTTCATCTGTTGTAGTTTTTTGTGCAGAAAAAGAATGGAAAAAGTGGACAAAATACAAAAATCAACTTAAAATGTATCTCGAAGAAGTCTGGCTCACGGGAAGCAAAATGTAAAGAACTATGGAAGTTTTAAACTCCTGTGAAGTTCTGCACCTTCCCTGAACCTTCTCAGTTTGAGGACATTTTTCAGACAAAAGACAAACTTCATCCATTCACCCTCTGATGYGTTACACTCCTTTGCAGTCTTAAAACAGCCTGGAATACACAAAAAGCCAAGTATTTTGATGAAAATGAACCAAGACAGGAATGGAGAAAAGCCCRTGTCTATTTTTAGATAATCCCCTTTACTCTGTGGTTCATGGATATTTGTTAAAACATGGTCGCATTTTTCCCCCTGAGGAGAACTGATATACCAGAATGACATGGAGGCAGCATGTGGGGGGTGGAGGGGTGAAAGCACAGGAGCAAAAAGAAAAATGAAAGGCCTATCATTTTTGGAAGGAATGTATATCACCAAATATAATTATAGATGTGCTTRAATTACGTGTTGCTACTATCAAACTTCAGCTCAACACCTGGCATTCTTGTGTTGGATAATGTTGATTAGCTTTGAATGGAATTGACTCCTAAAGTTAATCACTTATAGAGAGACATCCAGTTATTATTTTCTAAAACTTTTAATAAAATCTACAAACGGTTTACGAGATATTTTGCTAACAGACAAAGAAGGCTGAATCCAACAGTTGATGCCAAATTTTTAAGCAAAGATGTTAAACAAGGAGTTGTTCTCCAAGTATGTGTTGTGAGTGATTCAGCTCCTAAAAGACAACATTCAACACAGTATCTCTAAACTCTGCTGAGGTGCAGCCACTGTGGCKGCCATCTTATATCGGGCTTGTTCCAGAAGTTAATTAGTTGTACAGGTGCATCCGATAATTATTTCCACAAAGTTTCAATAAAATGCATCCAGTGGTTCACGCCAAATAGTTAATGGAGACATTTTGAGCCAAGCTTTTATGCAAACTGAGCTCAGAACATGTAATGGAAGTGACTCTCAGCTAATACTGCACTGAATCCTAGGTCAATCTCTGTTAAATTGACTATGTTATGCCTCTTTTCCACTAGTGCCACTTACTGTAGCGTCGGTACAGTCAGTGTTGGAACGGGTCAGTTCGGGKGCTTTTCCATTGACGTTCCAGTCCGGCTCCAGTGGATGTGCTCTGGGCGGTTGGTGGAGGTGGTTTTGGGGATTTTTGAAAAAAAAAAAAAAGTTAATGCGCAAAATGAGAGATGGAAACACATTTGCCGAATAAGTTCTGAAATTTTCAAAATTTCACTAAAAAAATCAAATTAAAATTGGATGGAAACACAACTAATGTCGCTGCTACAATTGAAAAAATGGCTCCTTGAGTTGTTGTTGTAAAGGCAGCTCAGATGCAACCAGTGACTCCACCTCCTAGCCAGTCAGTGACAAACAGTGTTCTGACATCGCATTTTGGTGTCGACTGGGACCATTTGGAACCACAACGAAGTTGGTACTAAAAAGGGCTTCCATGAATCTGGCCTAACAGAAATGGCTTGGAACCGGACCAAACCGACACTTCACTATGTGGCACTGGTGGAAAAGAGGTGAGTTGTTTTTTTGTGCTTTTTTTTAAAGGTTTTAAGGCTGTGGCGTCCATCTTGAATAGGGCTGAACAGAGGTGAATCAGCTGTAGATACAGTGGTTTGCAAAAGTATTCATACCCCTTGAACTTTTCCATATTTTGTCACATTACAACCACAAACATAAATATATTTCACTGGAATTTAATGTGAAAGACCAACACAAAGTGGTATACAATTGTGAAGTGGAAGCAAAATTTTACATGAATCAAAACATTTTTTACAAATAAAAAACTGAAAGTGCGATGTGCAAAATTATTCAGCCCCCCTGAGTCAATACTTTGTGGAGCCACCTTTTGCTGCAATTACAGCTGCAAGTCTTTTAGGGTATGTCTCCACCAGCTTTGCACATCTAGTGACTGCAATTCTTGCCCATTCCTCCTTGCAAAACAGCTCAAGCTCAGTCAGATTGGATGGAGAGCGTTTGTGAACAGCAGTTTTGAGATCTTGCCACAAATTCTCAATTGGGTTTAGGTCTGGACTTTGACTGGGCCATTCTAACACATGAATATTCTTTTTTTTAAACCACTCCATTGTAGCTTTGGCTTTATGTTTAGGGTCGTTGTCCTGCTGGAAGGTGAACCTCCGCCCCAGTCTCAAATCTTTTGCTGACTCCAACAGGTTTTCTTCCAAGATTGCCCTGTATTTGGCTCCATCCATCTTCCCATCAACTTTGACCAACTTCCCGGTCCCTGCTAAAGAGAAGCACCCCCAGAGCATGATGCTGCCAC